TGGTGCGGGGCTGGGCTGGTGCGGCCTGGCGTGCCTCGCCCTTCAGGGAAGCTGGAAGAGACAATATCTTTTATGAGGCCAGGGATATAGCTGAGGAGAACAGAACTGCTTGTGAGCACTGAGAGAAGCATCTGGATGCCCAGAGGTTATCTCTCTCCTTCCTAACAAAAGATATTGCCTTTCGCTTCCAGGCTTACCACGCACACATCCTCCGCCTGGCCAGGTCCAGCAGTGCTGTTATGCTGGCAGGGGCAGCGCAGAGCAAATGCACAGAGCAGAGCTGTGTCCGCTGGGGCCAGGGTGCTGCCAGGGCAGCAGGGCTGAGGAGGACAGGTCAGGACCAGGGAGGAAGTCCAAGCATGGAGGTGGTGATGTGTCCCCCAGCCCTGCTTCCAATGCTGGGTGCAGCAGTTCCCAGGAAGAAGAGATGGGGAAAACAGAGCAAGAAGGTGGCGAGGGGAGGTCAGGATGGTGGTGCCGAGGCTCACAGGGGCTGCAGGGAGGTGAGAGGGCTTGGCTCTGTCTTGCAGGTGCTTAGACCTGGCCGCGTGGCCAGCGAGGTCCTGGTGCAGGGTGAAAGGCACTGCTAGGGGGCCACAGTGTCTGTAGCCATGGGCCCGTGATCCTGGCCCTGCCCAGCTGTGCTCCCGTGGCCTGTGCTCCCCAGCGCGGCTCTAAACCCATTAGCTTTGCATAATTAGATTTTTCTCAATTACGAGATTATGATAATTAACAGCTCATTTGTAGGAGGCAGTGCCTAATCCGGGCATCACGCTTGGCTCAGTGCCAGCCTGGCTTGCAAGGCTCGGGGAGCTGGGATCACGGGTGGCAGAGCAAGTGTCAGCTGGAGGAGCAGCGTCGGGCTGCCAGGCAGCCTCGAGGACCGCTCTGGTTTCCCGAGCCCCTGGGACCCCCCGAAACCTGTCTGCCACCAGGGACTGGCCTCCCCTGCGCCTCCCCTGCCCTGCCTGGCGGAGGGGGCCGGCCAGAGGGTTCGTGGGGTGGGCAGGGAAATGGGGGCTGAACGGCAAGGCCAGGGGAGAGGCTGTGCTCCGGGGCAGGGGGATGAGAGCCCACGTGCAGACACGTCACTTCACGAGGGGGCCAGGCGGGGGGAGTTAGCAGGGATTTAAAAGTGGCACCGGCGCCCAAACGGCCCCGGAGAGGCAGGGAGCATCCTGCAACATCTCCTCCTGCAAACTGAGGCCCAGGGAAACCGCAGGAGAGGTTAGCATTGTGGGCTGGGCTGGCAGGGCTGCAGTCATTAAGGGGTTGTTAATGAAGTTTCCTGGTCAATAATGTTGCTGAGGAAGGACAGGAGAGTAGGGCTGGGGGAGGTGGGAGCCAATAAGGTACTAATCTTTATCACAGGAAGGCAGGGCAGTCCTGGCAATTACTGCCCATCAAGAGAGCTTCATCCCTAGTAAAATAATAGAACAAATATTAAGAGAAAAATGCTTCTAAAGACCTCGAGGGCAGGGGAACGGGGAGCAATAAAGATGTGCTCAGAGCTCGCACAGAATAAATCTGCCCAGTCCTACTTGATTGCCTTTTTTGGGTAAAATTGCTAAATGAATCGATGGAGAGGAGACAAGAGGTGTGATATATCTGGCTTTTATTAAAGCATTTGATATAGTGTGTCGTGGAATTAATTCCAGTTGGCATGGACGGCCGTCCCTCGCTTGGGCTGGGTGCTGTGCAGCGCCCCGAGGCGGCTTCGTGGGAGGGGGATCGGGCAGAGGAGGGCTCCCGCTCCCTTACCTGCCTCCCGGGAGGGCAGTGCCGGGGGTCTGCGCCGGGAGCACCCGGCTCTGCTCCAGACCTGCAGCCCCAGCCCGTGTGCTGTCCCCGTGCTTTTGGAAGATGTCGCTTCTGGTTGTGGCCCTGCCTGTGGATCCCTTGCTGGGAAACCACATCTTGTGTGGGCAGCCGTCGTGCCCGGCCAGGCGCAACTGGCTGGGATGTCTCAAGCTGTTCTCATGTGTCTCCTTTGCCCGGCTTTTCTGATCTTCTGCCATGACCGTCTCCGCGTGGGGGATTTGGTCCTGCGCCTCTGCCCAGCATGGGCAGCAATTTTGGCTCCATACAGGCAATAAATCAGCCTGCTCGCCCAGGGTGGCTGCGCGTCCCCTGCTGCTCCGTCTAGAGTTACCCACTCAATCTCAGATTACCGCGGGGCCGGCTGAGACCTGGGTAACTTTGTGTCTCTTGTTTGAGCTTCTCCAGCTTTGTTTCTGCCGCTGGATTTTGCCAAAGGCTCTTGAGTGTCCCTGCCCTTGTGCCCAGCCTGGGTGGCCACGGAGCAGCGTTTGCATGGCGCGAGGTCCCAGCTCGCTGCCCGAGGGTGGCCCTGCCGGGAGCAGACGTGCGCCACGTGGGATTGCCCGTCTGCGAGGGGAGCCAGGCAATCCAGCGGCTCAGCGAGGCAGCTTTACTCAGCCAGAACGGCATTTGCTCCCCAGCCAGATCAGTGCAGGGTCAGAGATCCCAGGCCAAATTTAGACACGTCGTCCTCGGCAGGGGAGCAGGCCAGATAGTGCATTCTCTCCTGGAAACCACATGGAGAGCTTCTGCTCGAAAACAGTTTCTCCCCATGTGGTTTCTTTGATGCTCACATTGGGAAGGATCACAGTTAAATGCTGTTCTCCAGGCCTGAGTCTTTACCTTCACTGAGGAGCTGCTCCACCGTCCCGTCCAGCCCCAGCAGCCCCTTTGCGCTCTCCCAAAGAGGAGGAGGAGGACACAGGCTTCTGCGAGAAAGCAACAGCTAAAAGCTGCAGCAGGCGGTCCCGCAGCCAGCCCCGGTCATGCACAAATCCCAACAGGTCAACCACTGGGCACCTTGCGATGCAACTCGCCGTGTGGCCGGCAAACAGGCAAAACGGAGCCCCTGGGAGAAACCTGTCAGGCTTCGCACATGTGGAGGAAACCAAGGGGAACATCAGGGTTTCTCATGAAAACAGCCCCGGCGCAGCTTCCCCGCACGCCTTGCCCTGCTGCAGGGCAGTGGGTGAGCGAGTCCTCGTGCAAGCAGCACCCACGAAGTGATAGGGTCCCCAGGAGCCCCAAGACACTGGGGCAAGCTGGCCAAGAGCGGGCTTGCGAAGGCACAACTTGTCCCAGCACCCAGCTGGGAAGGCAGGCAGCACCCTGCATGGCTTGCAGCAGATGGCGAGGGTGTTGCAGCGATGAGTTTGGGGAGGTTGCAATGAGCACAGCCTCAGCACAGGCCAGCGCTCCTCACCTGGATACTGGCCAGCTACTGCCCAGTGCAACTCATGGACTTCCTGGCCCAGCTGCTCAGTCAGTAAAGCACTAAATATCTGTGAGACCATTCAGGCAGCCCAAATGGATGCGATTAGCAAAGCGCCAATGGTTCAGGGGCTGAGTAGAGAGAAAAGGCCCCAGGAACACACCTGTGAGCTTAATTTCCAGCCAAGCTTCCCATCCAACTGCTGCCAGGGTGCAAGGCACCGTGACACAGCCCTACTTCCAGACTGTCTCCCTAGGTGGAGCTCAGGGCATTTTGCTGTATAGGAAACTGACCCTTTTCTGCACAGGTCTAATCACACTGGAAGTTATTCTGGAAACTTGTGCAGTGACTGGTTCCTCCATGCCCTGGAGCAACCACATTTTGGGTGTCCAGCAGCTCCTTAGCAAAGCTGCGTGTGTCTGGGCAGCCTCTGCTCATCTTTATCAAAGTCTGTTCAGACGCTAATTAGGACTCCTGGATTCCAGCCTGGAGCGACAGGAGAGCTGGGGCAGCCGGGGCCAGCAGCCTGCTGGATCCCGCAGACCAGGGCGGTGGCCTTGGTGGGCAGGACAGTGCATGTCCTGTCCAGGACGATGATAGCCAACACCACGCTCCTTCATCCATCCCCAGGCTCATGCATTCTCGATTTGTGCTCTTGGATCTCACCCTTTTTGAGGCCTTTCCCAAACTGAGGATGATTCGTGTCCTGGTGGCATCAGCAGATTCCCTCCGGTGCCCCCCACTTTTGGGGTGAAAGATGAAGCTATGCAACGAGGCACCTCCCCAACGGTGCCAAAACTTGTCTCTCTCCTCCCTGGTATCTCCTCTTTCCCCAGCAGCCTCTTACCACCTCCTTGTGCTCATGATAATCCCTTAATTTGTGCAAAGTAATAATTTCCTGTGTGGCACTGTCTCTGTTCTTCCCAAGTCCCGACAGCCGAGATCTGCATTCTTCTTCTTCTGAAAACCAGCTCTCTTATCAGCAGAAGGTATCGGGTGAATCAGGCACCATCTTCCTCTGATAAGGCTATGTTTTATTTTGTCCTATTTCCATTTATCTCCCAGCCTGTAATTATCCTTCGCACAGCACGTTCTCAGGCCTTGTGCTCTGATGAGCAAGGCGCACGGGCGGTTTGCTGGGCAGGCGAGTCCTGCTGGGAGGTCAGCGGGCAGCAGTGAAGTGGTGGGGAAGGAGCCAGGTGCTCCAGGTCCTGGGAAAACCTGGGGCTGGAGAGAGATGGGAGGAGAAGAAGGGGATGCCAGGGTGTGCAGGGTGACAGGCAGACAGGGGTCAGGAAAATGCTCCCATTGTGGCTCAGCGTCAAACCAGGGAAATTTCAATAAAAATAATGAGAGTTTCAAAAGTTGTGCAAGGACAGACGAGTGTGAAACCAAAGAGAAAGTTTAGGGAGAGCCTCCTGCGGCAGCCCAGCTCCACGGGAGAGTGGAGCAGCAGAGACCCCCCATGCGAGGCACACGGCTGCTGCTCCCTGGTCCCTGCCTGCCCACGGGGCTGCAGCCTGTCCCATCCTGTCTGTGTTGGCATGTGGCACGGCAAGCAGCCGCCCAAACCCTCCCAGTGCAGGGCCAGTCCTTTGGGGTGGCGGGACCCAGTGGGCAGGGGAAGAGGGCTGGTGCCCTGCGTTTCCCCCTTTTCCAGAGGGCGTCAGCTGGACCCAGCACGCACAGGTTGGTGGCGATGGCTCAGGACTCACACACGCATGAACACACGGACTCATGCTTACACATGCATGTACCCGCTTCTGCACACACACAGGCACACGCAGGCTCACGGCAGCTCTCAGCAAGCCAGAGGCTCCCTGTCCACCTCTGCACGGCACCTGCGTGACCCTCCGGCTCCCTGGCTGGCTCTGTGCAGTTTGGTTGTCCCACCTCTGCCTGGGCATGGGCCACGAAGGGTGCTCGCAGCCCTGGACTGAGGCCCGCTGCCAGAGGGGTTAAGGAGGTGGTGGTGCAGCTGGGTGGTGCTCCGGGGCGATCCCTGCCCTGCCACGCTGCTGGCTGCGAGCCCTTCCTCCTCCGCCTGCACCCGCCGCTGCGTTCCCTTTAATCTCGCACAGCAGCAGCGATGGATTTTCTCCCCGTGAGCCAGATGTGTTGCACGGAGCATAAACACCCGCGACAGTTGTTGTGCTCCGCGGTGTGAAGGCATCAGATGTCTGCATTAAAACAAAGCTCTCCACTTAATTACTCAGGCTGATAATTCAGTGTGTGGAGGCGGCTCTGGCTGAGAGCAGAGGGCTGGATCACAGCTGGGACTGGAGAGCCTTGGAGTGCACATTAATCCCAGCTCTCATAGTCCTGATTAACGGTGCTGGAAACCTGCCTACCCCACTCATTCCCAGGGGAAGGGGCTGCCCACAGCACCCACTCGCTGCCCCGCCTGAGGGGCCTGGTGTCCCTGGGGGACTGGCATCTGAGGGGCTGTGCTGCCCCACTGCTGCCACAGCCTGCTGGGCAAGGCGTCCTTCTCTTAACATTTTTGGGGCTGGAGGGCTCAGGGTATGGAGGAGCTTGGCTGTGCCTGGAGGGATTGTGGTGAAGGGCACACTCGTCCGCTGCATCCGGAGCCCAAGGGTCCTGCCCACAGGACAGGGAGGGCAGGAGCTTCCTCACCCTCCCTCACCTTCCTCCTCACCCTTCCTCATCCTCCCACTCTGACATGGACTTGAAAGGCAGGTGGCACCCAGCTGTCGCTCAGGGTATGGAGGAGCTTGGCTGTGCCTGGAGGGATTGTGGTGAAGGGCACACTCGTCCGCTGCATCCGGAGCCCAAGGGTCCTGCCCACAGGACAGGGAGGGCAGGAGCTTCCTCACCCTCCCTCACCTTCCTCCTCACCCTTCCTCATCCTCCCACTCTGACATGGACTTGAAAGGCAGGTGGCACCCAGCTGTCGCGGCAGCTCAGCTCTGCCCCCCGGCCCCCTGCCGCTGTGCACCAAGACTGTGCGCGGACACCCAGCTGTGGGTGCCCAGGCCAGGCCCCACAGCCCAAAGCCCCTGCGCTCCCTGCTGCCTATCTGGATTTTGGCTGCAAGCCCACCACAGCCTCTGGGGCCTTGGAGATGTCCCTCCCTGACCCCAGTACCCAGGGCATCCCTGGACCTAGGGCATCCCAGCACCTAGGGCACCCCTATCCCAGCAAAGCCCCTGTCCCTGGGCAGCTCTGCAGGCTGGCACGGCTGGAGAGCTGCCTGGGGGGTCCTGCCTGTACCTGGGAGACCGATTTCCTTGGGCTCCCGTCCTGCCTCTTATCTCTCCTCCTTTTTG